GGAGCATCTGCTACTGTAGGGAGATGGAATCAACCATGTGCTCACTTTAGGCAGCACAGCTTTAAGGGCAGAAACTGTGGAAACGATAGACTACCGCAGGAAAATGTATTTGGACTATATCTCCAACTACCAGAGTGGCGGCTTTCCTACCATGGAACACTGGCTTTCCTGATTCCCTCCATACCCGTCAGGGATTAAGCCCCAGTTCTATTTCCCTTAGTGCTAGTATCCCACATTTCCCCCTTCTGCATTACGTTTAAGATTTAATAGTGTCACGGAGGCAACATGGTCTCTCTTCACATCTCTTAGCTTCCTATAGAAGCGACACGAGACTGCAAGCATCCAAATTATGATGATAAACAACACAGTCAGGCTGGAACTTAAGCTACATGAAGTGCTTTTAACCCAAGTGCGTGGGATCCAGCCTCTTTCTGTGCCATCCACCACTTGTTTAAATACCTCAACGAGTGGAATGTCTTAAATCCACCCTTGAATGTATAGAAAATATCCTTTTAGCTAAAGCACATCTGATGAAATGTTTCCCTTAAACTCTTGCAAATGTCTCATAATCAAATCCCAATCATGTAACGTCTTATTATATGGGTAAGGAATTATACAAAAATCAGTAACATTGTAATAACATAATAGCATTAATTGACAAGTCCAAAATCTTGATCTTCCAGCAAAAGAACAGTCTGTTGTAATAGTCCAGTCACTATGGTATAAAATGTTCAGTTATGATAGAGTCCCAGAGTATCCCTTAGACAGCATCAGCAATGGAAGAAATATCTCAGCAGTCAGAGATCGCCATTCCCAGGAATCTGCGAGGTCTTCTTGACGTTTTGGATAGCTTCAGTAGCAGGACAGGGTCAGGTCACGCATCAGCTTCCCTCCTTTCTTCTGGACCTTGCTGGCTGAAGAGAAGTCCACCTATCTCCTTTGTCTGTGAAATATAAACAAATATCCCCTCTCTTCGGGGTGTCAGTAACCTGAAAAAAGAATTATGATTAAGCTTTTGTGCTTCCTTCATATCCTTTATCTTTCTCCAAACATGGTTGCGTCCTTCTCAGGGGAGTCCATCAGCTGTATTCTGCAACAACATAAATGTATAGCCCTTTCTCCGGGTGACAGATGGACCTGGATCCCAAACGCAATTTCCATCTTCTTGGGACTCCTTAGGATCAGCTTTCTCTGTAGACATTAAAATGTGCTTACTTACCCTAATTTTGTTACAAACTTTTAACGAGGAGAAAATTTTTTTGGTGAGAATGACCAAATGAAATTTGTCATACATAAGATTCCTCTTCTCTCCCTTCTGTTTTAACAATGCAGATTTTAAAGCATTGCTAGCAATCTCAGTTGGCTTGCTAGGCTTTGATCCAGGGGGGAAAGGAGGGCTCCCAACAAATTATCACAGGTCCGGTAGGCGCAATTGTACGGCGATAAAAAGTAAAGATTATAATGAAGCCATAGAGAGCATGAGAGATAGAAGAGAGATTGAAGTAATGGAGTCAGACACCATTCATGGTAGCATGCTCACTGCAACCCCACGTTGGGGGCCATGTGTGGGATAAACAGTGATAAACATCTAGATCAGGGGTCCTCAAACTTTTTAAACGGGGCCAGTTCACTGACCATTGGAGGGCCAGGCTATAGTTAAAGAAACAAACAAACTATGAACAAAATCCTATGCACACTGCACATATCTTATTTTCAAAAAAACAAAACGGGGCACAAACACCCGGCAGGGGATAAATGTTCTCGGCAGGCTGCATGTGGCCTGTGGGCCATAGTTTGAGAACCCCTAGATGTCTGATAACCCTTAGGGAGAATAACCCCCGACCTACTTCTGTTGACCTCCAAGTGTATAGTCATTCGCCACATGTAGCAAGCAGCTAAGTTTGGCATATATTTGGGGGAACCAACTTGGGAGAAATCCTTCTGGTTCCCATGGATGAGCCTGCTGGTATTTGAAATATCGTGGGTGGCATCATTTCCAGCATCACAGCAAAATGCAAGTCACCACAGTACCACAGACTGACAGATAAACCTGATTTCCCTGTGACCTTCTGTTCTTTTAATTTCAGTGTTACTTCTTGTATGACTTCTACTTAAGGGTTTTATTAGTCTGGGTAGACTAGAGAAACAAATTCATAGACAGTCATGTGTGTCTAAGAAAGAGTTTTCTATAAAAAGTAATTGTACTTTAAGAAAACATCCCAGCCCAGTCCAGATCAAGTCCATAAATCTGATATTAGCCCATATATTGGATACCAATCTATAAAGTCCTCTTCAGACTCATGAAACACATGCAATGATGCCGAATGCAGGAAGATCACAAACCAGTGGGTGGGGAGTCTTGTGGGTCCAGTGGCAGTAGAGGCATCTCAGTGCTGGCAGGGGTCTCCACGTGGCTCCTCCAGCTCAGGGCATTAGCATAGCTCCATGTGTCTTCTCAGCTGCAATGTCTCCCAGGGGGTGAGTGTGTGTCCCGCCTCCAGCCACCTCTTTATCTCCTTAGCGGCTCCAAATAAGGTCATCAAGCTGCAACCTGACTAACAGGCTGAACTGTACCCCTTCACTCTTAATCCTCTCAAATTGACAGCAGATTATATAACCACCACAAGTGCTATGTCAGTATTACTTTTTAAACACTTCCTATTCAGAGATTTTTAAGGTGCTTCAGAAACATTGCTGAGTTTTCACTTTTTCAGGTATTGTTTCTAGAAAATTATGGAATTTAATTGAAAGTATCAGTTTTTATTAAAAATTAACTGTGCTTGTTTAAGTATATATTCCTTTCAGGTATTTTTTTGCTGTGTTCAGAGAGAGTTGATACATACCTTCAGTTCTTTTTCCAATAGATAAAATATTTCAGCAGGGATGAGGATCATCGGTTCTTATGACTACATCTGCAGGCCAAATTTAATGGCCTCTTAAAAGATTTAGGTTACAAAGAAAAATCATTCACTCTTCAGCTCATGAGTAATATTTTGATAGTCATTTATTTCATGGAAAGGTTTAACAAGATTTTAATGAAAATCTATATTCAAACCTAATTAGATATGGCAGTACTTTAAAACATCCTAGTTCAGTTTGAAATCAGTTTTAATCATTCTATACAGTTGCCCTGCCAATGGACAATGTTTCCAGACCCCGCTTGCCGTACAAGATTCCAAAGTCCACAGATACTCACGTCCCGTATATAAAACGGGGAGCCTTGCATACACCTTGGACAGTTAACTGAATGGTCACAGTTTGAAACCACCAGCTGGCTCCATGAGAAAGATGAGGCTTTCTTCTTCTCCTCTAAGATTTATACGCTCCGAAGCCCAAAGGGGAAGTTCTACTCTGCCCTCAGGGTTGCTGGGTCTGAAATGGCCTGAGGAAAGGGTTCAGTTCTTATGCATATAACCCATGCAAACTCTTTTGTAGACTTCAATTCATTTCTAGACCATTTACAATTTCTAATACAATGTTAAAGGAACCCTGGTGGCATAGTGAGTTGGGGGTTTGGCTGCTAACCAGAAGGCCAGCAGTTTGAAACCACCAGGTTTTCTATTCCCATAAAGATTTACAGGTACAGATAAGAAGTGGGAACACAGGGAATCCAGGACAGATAATGAGAGTAGCAATACCAGGAGGGGAAGGGGAAGATGGGGAGAAAGGGGAAATCGATCACAAGGATCTACATATAACCCCCTTCCTGGGGGACGGACAGCAGAAAAGTGGGTGAAGGGAGACGTTGGACAGTAAAGGACATGACAAAATAATAATAATTTATGAATGATCAAGGGTTTGTGAGGTGGGGGCAGGGAGGGAGGGGGGAAATGAGCTGATGCCAAGGGCTCAAGTATAAAGCAAATGTTTTGAGAAGGATGAGGGCAACAAATGTACAAATGTGCTTGACACAATGGATGTATGTATGGATTGTGATAAGAGTTGTATGAGCCCCCAATAAAATGATTAAAAGAAAAAAAAGATTTACAGTCTTGGAAACCCCCATGCCAATTTGCTGTCTTGTCATGTTGATATGAATCATATTTGACGAGCTGGCAGTGAGTTTGCATAATACAGTATAAATACTATGTAAATAGCATGCTTTTTTCGTACTTAGCCTTTGAGGGATAGCAATGACCACTTAATGCAGAAACAAAGGGTGCACTGGACACAAGTAATAAATGGACAAAGAGTCCACTTTCACTCAGAGTGAGTCAAGGGGAACGGTGCTCAAAAGAGTGCTGAGGATCTGGAAACAGACAGGGTGCTTCAACAGGATCGCCTACATCACATTCTGTGGTTTTAGTCCACACATAGCAAACTCAAATGATATTTTTTGGGTCCCCCCCTGCCCAAATATTTCATATCTGCAGTTAGTTGAATCTGTTGATGCAGAACTCATAGATGAAATGTGCTGCCCATAATTTAAGTAGATTCCTGGCACAGTACAATTTCTTGGCTAGTATATATCATAGCATAAAGCGATTTTGGTCAGGTTCTTTGCTTTTGATAGCCTCAAGACATGTTGCTCTACTGATATGCTATCGTCTGAATTTATACAAGACAATGAAACTAACCCAGGAGGCAAGAGAATTTTGGGAATGATGAGGGCAACAAATGTATAGATGTGCTTTACACAATTGATCTATGTATTGTGATAAATTGTATGAGCCCCAATAAATTGATTAATTAAAAAAAAAAAAGTTCCACATGAAAAAAAAAAAAAAAGACAATGAAACTGCCACTCAAATAATGTATTCTATGGCTACTAAAAAATCCATTGAATGATTGGAAGTGGTGGGATAACTTAATGCTTTGTCAGCAAACCCTTTTTCTTCTATTCACTTCATTTTCTCGAGCTCTTAAATACTTTTAAAGGAAAACATTAAAAAGAAAGTCAGCTTGCATTTTATTAAGTTTGGTTGCCTAGATGATATTTCCTTTGAGAAACTGGTCCTTTTTGGATTCTCTTATGTAATTTGTCCGTTTCTCCTAAACAGGTTTTCAACACCTACTCTAACGAGGACTACGACAGGAGGAATGAGGAAGTGGACCCTGTAGCTGCTTCAGCCGAGTATGAACTTGAGAAACGGGTAGAAAAACTGGAACTTTTCCCCGTAGAGCTAGAGAAAGGTATATGCTTTCTGTAATGTTCCTTCTATTCAGTTGCGTTGATAAGAAAGAAATCATTTATTTCCCTCAAGAGTAGGCATCGTCCCGTGATTGTCCAACAGCATAGTTCTTGTGGAGCCTCTAATTTCATAAATAGTTGAAGTGAATTCTAGGTTGACAGTGGATTGAAAGACTCCTTCCTCTTCCACAGCTACTGAAACTATGAAATGGCTGTGGGGGGTGGAGCTCTGAGGTGTAGTATAAGGTTTGTTGGGGGAGGTGGGGACCAGCCCCCACTGCTACTACTTACAGGTTCAGTAATGCACAAGTGTACGGTTGAGATATGTAAGTATTATATTAAAGTCATCGAGCGCATGAGAGGTAGAGGAGAGATATTACAATAATGCAGTCAGACACATTGCATGGTAGCAATGCTCACGTCAGCCCAGCTTGGTGGTCCAAGTGGAGAGAGGGGGAAGGGAAGGAGGACAGGAAAGGGAACAAGGGAGAGAGGATGGGACAGGAGAGGGGGACCAGTGTGAGAGAGCATCTATTGCTGACACATGCCTATATAACTTTTGGGGGTGTGAAAGCCCACTAACTATAGGTAAAGTCATACGTTACAGGAAGGAGTTGCACTATAGGTTATACAGCAACGAGAGGGGGTGGTCTAGAGACATACACACAATAGGAAGTGGAGGGATTGGGGGTATACATGTGACAAGATGGGTGGATCCTAGATTTAGGATGGCAGCTTAACTTTGACCTGTTCTCTGGGTCCCCATAGGAACCATTAGCAGTAGGGTGTAAACCCCACTTATAGGAACCAAGCTAATGATCACAAGCCTTAGCTCATTGTCCCCAGCAGCAGGGAGCAGGCCCACCCCTTGGTCTGGAGACTGACTGTCTTCAGGGAGGATGACCTCCCCCCACACTGAGGGAGTTCTAATCCTTTATTGGTATCTTGGAAGGGATTAGTACAGCTGAAAGTCTGAGATGAATATTTGAAGAAAAAGTAATCTTAGTTCCATATAGAATACAGCAGATTAGATAAGGAAGGGTTTGATTTTTAGACAAATATGGGGTATTTGTAGTACAGGCAGTTGTCTTACTAAATGCTGAACAAGTGGCTCTTGGATGGGAGGTGCCTCATTTGTATATTTTTGTCAGTTTCTGTGGGCAAATTTTCCCACCATGACTGATTTCAAGCACCCTAACTCTAAAAATAAATGTAAAAATTACTTATCAAATTGTAGAGCAAAAGTCCCAGAAAAATCACAAAGATGATCCAACGACTAGGAAAGAAATGGCAATGTCAGAAGAGAGGCATTTATGATTCATGTAACAGAAGGAGTATTTCTGAGCGGAAAAAAAAAAGTTCTGAACCTCATATTAGATAGAGCTTATCTGGCTTCCAGTGAGAGTGTGTACACAAAACAAAATAAAACAAAAAGTCTCACGGACATGCATGAACCCGTTGCTGTTGAGTTTATTTCTGTACCCCCACACAAAGCAACCTCGAGCCCGGGAGTCCACTTTGACTCAGAGTGACCCCAGAGTGAGACGGAGTAGAACTGGTCTTCCCTGGGTTCCCAAGGCTGTACCTGTACAGAGCACATTGCCTGTCTGTCTGCTGTGGAGTGGCTGGTGCGTTTGAACCATTGGCCCTTTGGTTCTCTGCCATGTGCTTAACTAACCACTGAGCCACTCAGGCTCTTTGCAAAGTTCCTCACATAGACAGAAGAAGTAGACCAGCCTCAGAGTTGTCACTTGCAGCGTTAGAAGCAGGGCGACATAAAGTCAGACACCACTAAGAGGAAGAATCCCATCTGTAGCCCTGAGAACATTTACCTATTCTGGTAGAAAAAAGAAACTTGCTGGATTTAGAGAACATGTCACCCACTCAGTGCACATGCGTAATTCACTTTCAAATTAACAAGGAGAAAAGAAATGAAGAGAAACTCGTTCCAAAGAGCACAGTTGAGGAACGCAGAAGGGAAAACTGTATTCGTGTTTACCATGAAAAGCCTACCCAGTCCAAACACAGCCATCAGCCCACTCCCCCGCACCAGGACCCTGCTGGACGGAGGAGAATTGCCCCTTTGGGTTTCTGAGGGGTTATAGTTTATGGGAGCAGAAAGCCCTAGCTTTTTCCTGTGAGATGAATAGACCACATGAATATAAGAATGCTAGTTATTACACGAAGTATGGCAGACTTTTACTGTTAAAAGACAATTTCAAAAAGGGCATGCAACAGTGATGCTTATGTTTTTTTAACCATTCAAAAATGGAAAAAATATTCTTAGCTCACAAGGCCTACAATAAAACCCCTGGGTCAGATTTGGTCTGTGCTGGGCAGTATTAGTTATAATAGCAAAAATATGAGAAAAATCCAAATATTCATCAACTGTAGAATAGGTAAATAAATTATAGTAGACCTATATAATAATATGTTACTCAGTAGAGAGGAGAATTGTCTCAGCTCCTAGCTGCAATGCATATAATTCTTAAAAGCATGAGGTTCAACAATATTTTATTTGTTTAAACAAAGCATTTAAAAACCAGGAAAAATTAAGCAGCATATTGTTTAGGCATGCACAAATAAGTGATGTCAACAAAGAATATTAATAAAATGAAATGACTGGCTAATACCACATTTAGAAGATTAGTTATTTAGGGTCAGAGGTATATAGATACAGAAATGTTTAAAAAGAACATATTTTGAACAAATACGATACTAGTCTATGACTACAAATTAGTTAATTATTAAGAAACTCTGCTATGTGATATTTAAAGGAAAAAAGAATAATATGAGAAGGGACTTGTTGAAATTCAGGTATTTAAAATAAAAACTTTGAATAAGTTAACACATGAAAGAAAATTCTTAATATGCCAACAATATGCTTTACATAACAGTGCATTTATGCCTTAATATCTGGAAGAAAGGAAAATAACATTGAATACCTTAATTACATCATATGTGAAAGTATCCTTATGAATTTAGAATTATTAAAAATTGAATAAAAACATTTGAAGAAAATTAAGAAGACCACAGATACAATCTGGGCTTATAGGGGGAGGGAATTAAGATGGGAAACGCAAGTATTTTAAAACAGAAGATGAACTAATTTAATCATGAAAAAATATAGGCAATGCTATCAAACCTAAGTCAATAGATGAAGTGATGGTTGAACAATGTAGAAGAAATTTCCGCATTGTCGATGTGTATACTACGTATATGTATAGTACGTTAAGCATCCCTACAAATTACTCTGAGAGGAGAGGGGAGACAGGTGAAACTCAGTGAGTTATAACGTTCTCTACCTCACTGATATTTCTATCTCTCAGTTCTGAGGTCCTTTGGGATGGTTACACAGAACTCACAGTCAAAAAGTCATGATTAAAGGCTTTATTAAGGAAGTTAACAGGCAAGTGCGAGATGCTTGGGGTAGGGTTACCAATCAGGATGCTGTCCAAACTTCTTTCAGGACTCCCAGTGGGCAGCCGAAGGGCATCCCCCACTCAGCTTGAAGCCTCAGCTGGAAGGCATCCAACTGAATTCTGTAGGTCCTCCACAAGCCCAGCTCCTTGAACCGAGTGCCCAGGGGCACCCTACCCTCGTAAGCCTTAACCCAGAGCCACTGCGCTCCCCTTCCAAGAGTTTATGTGCCCAACTCTGCAATTAAGTGCCCAGAGGTACCAAACTCTGCGAGCCAGCCTTTGCAAAAAACCCTCCGCTTGACTTCTCCGTGGTGGGTGAAGTCCACCATGCTGTCCCCGCTCTCGGACTCCTGCCTGGCTCTGCTGCTGCTCCCCTGATGGTATCGCTGCCCTCTGGGTCCAAGGGCTTCACTGCACAGGGCTCTCGGGCTCCAGAGGACACGCTCAGCTCCTGGCTCTTTATACCCAGCAGGATGGCATTCCCGGCACTCCGGTTCACAGTGATTCCCTGATGACTCCATCAGTACCTTCCCCCACCTTCTTACCAGCCCCATGAAGGAAAAGGCCATTTGGTGTGAGTTTGAACCTTTGGCGAGGAGAGCCACAATAAGGAATTTACTGCCCCCTCATGTAGAAATTTTGACAATTTGCTGAAAAGTCAGAGACTCAGGTTCATCTAAAAAGATGCTCCAGCCTCCGTAGTAATAGGAGCATAGCAATAAATCAACCTGGATTTCTTTCCTGAAAGGAAAAATTAAAGGTTGAGCTCCAGTGGGCGGTGATAGCATCTTCAGTAATAACAAACTTTACAGCATTTACCAACTCTTCCTGCTCTGTCTTTCCCACTTAGTTCCCTGCCTGTTTCAAAGGGTATAAACAGAAAAGGGCCAAGTTTTACACAGTGTAGCCACAAGAATTAATGGCACTGAGCATGGGGCTCGGGATTTCGTTCATACCTGACACATCTCGCAGAAGGCTGTACATCTGATCTTTTGGGGTTCAGTGCATTCTCCCTTGTACTGTCGATCAGTCTCTACTCTGTTCTTCTGTGGGGTTTGCATTACACTTGAGAATGGCTTGAGTTAGGTTTGCTCACCTGCAACCAGGTTCTCAGCTCTGCAAATCCGAACAATTTCCCAATTAGACAAGAAAAGCCATAAAAGGGAAAAACTTTCACCAAGGCCTGGCTGCAGGCAGGGAAAGTGGATTTAAGAAGCAAGAAATAATTTTCCTGCAGAGTGTTTGGGAGAAAAACCCATTGAATGGCATAATAGTGCAGATCATTCACATTTGCGTGTAAGGCATTTAGGAATATAATGAGTATGGGGAAAACCTACTAGAGAGCGGGGAGGAGCTGCTGGAGGGATGAAAACATTGTGGAGAGGCTTTCTATCATCCATCACTTCATCAACATGAATCAATTCACATTCAAGAGAAACCCTGTGAATGTGATGAATGCGGGTAGGAAGTCAGCCTTAGAAGCAACCTTTCTTTAAAAACACCCTAGGAATTCACCTGGGAGAAAAGAACTCCTGTACATGTAACCGACATGGAAGGACATTCAGTCATGATCAAGTTTCATTTGCACAAAAAACTCGTTCGAAGCAGAAACTCTAAAAATGTGCTGAATGTAGGAAAATCTTCAAGAAACAAAAGGCTGTTGTTGAACGTTGTTAATGCCAGAGATCAATGTGAATGAAATAAATACGAACAGTCACATGCATGAAGCATTCTCAATGAAAGTCTTCAGTGAGGCATCAGTCGGCACTGAAGTTTGTACATCAGAAAGATACTTGTGCTGAGAATCAATGTGGAAATGGCTTCAGTGGGAATTCCCATCCCAAAAGTCATCCTGGGAAAACCATTACAAAGAGACTTTACCAAATAACTGACAAAAAATTGATTTTTTGCCATATTACATCTTTTAAAAACATTTATAATAAAAATGTAAGATTATGAATTGTGGTTAGAAATACTTCAAGCAGACGTGCTAATCAAGGATAGAATCCCTCCCCCCGATTTTTTTTTCTAATAGTGATTACTGGCCAAAAAGACACAGAAAACCCCTTAAACATTCTTCTAAGTACATGGGCCAGTTTTCCTGTAATAATTGATGATGGTTGATAAATTCGGATATATTTTTTCCTTCTCAGTTAGAAATCATGATTGTAAAAACTGAGACTATCAGAAAATAACTTGGAATTTTAACCAATAGGTCTGGAATCCACCTTCTTTTCCACATTGGTGCTAAAATATGTGCACTTATGGACGGACATGTAGAAATACAGATAAACACTTGATTTGACAGTGTTCTTCACAAGGCCAATAAAATAGAAACTCAGTGAATACCTATCAGTCAATAGAGAAATGGAGGGATAAGTGATAACACTGTCTGACCACGAAGTATTAAGCAGTCATTAAAAATGAGTTAGAGCTATATAATATGGTCTCACATGAGTAACACACATAGAAAGTGAAAACAAGCCTTCTACCAAGACTGGTAACCCAAAGGCCAGTGGTTTGAACCCATCAGCCACTCCGTGGGAGAAAGACGAGGCAGTCTGCTTCTGCGAAGATTTATAGCCTTGGAAACCCTGTAGGGCAGGGTCGCTATGAGTGGGAATCAACTCAAGGGAAGCAGGTTTGTTTTTTGTATGAATGCATACCTATTAGGGTGTTGTTGCGGAGTGCCCTGCAGTCCGTGTTCAAGCTCATGTAACAGAGGAGACTTTCCCTGGATCATTTTCTAGGCTGTAATCTGTTGAGGAACAGATCCCTAAGTGTGTTCTTCTGAGAGCCCCTGGGTAGTTGGACAGTCAGTGCTTTGGTTAGCAGCTGTGGTATTTGAGCATTTCACCACAGAGTTTCTTATAGCTTAGTGTAGTAGCCACAAAGCATAGCACTTTATTAACAAATATAGGACAAGTATGAAGCAGCCAGCATGAATAAATGGAAATGTGCAGATCTGTTATGAGCATGCTTATTCAAAATTATATTTGTGTTTACAGCCTGAATAACTCAGGAGTACTTAGAAAGTTCATGTTTTAAGGAAGATTTATTATTCAGTAGTCAAAATATTACTTTTTTTGTTGGACTCGTAGTGAATTGCCAGTTGCAATAATAAATAGGAAACTACACTCAAGCACCATTTTTGGAGTCTAGCTTGCTATTTCCTACTCTCCAGATAGACAAAATTCTGCCCAGACAGTATACCACACAGCCCGTCCATAAAGAAGAAGGCAAGCAGAAGTAGCAAATGGGCCTCACCAGTTGAATGCGAACGACTGTCAAACCTTGATTGTTGCACCCACCCCCCCTTTTTTAATAGATGAAGACGGCCTTGGAATAAGTATCATTGGAATGGGTGTTGGAGCAGATGCTGGCCTTGAAAAACTGGGAATATTTGTCAAGACAGTAACAGAAGGTGGTGCTGCTCAGCGGGATGGCAGGTAAGCTAATTCTTATTATCAAAACTCAGAATCTTTTTAGGAACCTTCCCTGAGAATTTCTTTCTAAAATGGCTTTCTTTTGATTTTTAAAACAGAAGTTAAGAATGTGTCTTGAATGCGGAAAATGTTAAAATACTGAAATCATTTTCTGATTCATTGGCAGAATATTTGCTTCCTTTAAAGTATGTATTTCGTGGATAATATATGTAACACATACTTTTTATCTATCCATTCATTCTTCTGTCTGGTGGGAATGGGTAGAAACCTCAGCCTGTATCATTGAAGAACATGTTCTAGAGACACCAGTATAGAGTTTTGTATCAGAAGCATCAAAACAAATACTAGTTCTGGTATTCTGAAAATGACAGCATTAGTGTGGAACATGGTTTCCATGGCAACTCAGTAGGTCAGTGTTTCTCAACATGCACTGTATGTGAAAGCCCAGGTTCTTGGGAGCAACGTAATCCTACGGATTTACATTCCCTCGGAGTAGGGCCTGGCAGTCTGCCCTGAAGCAACCACTTTGGGTGATTCTGATGGATACCAGAGTGTCAAAAAATGATTTATGTTCATAACTTACGTTACTTCAAGCCATGTTTATCTTTAGTATAAAAATTTCAGAGTAGGACTGAAACAAATGGTTGGCAATAGATAAGAAAGTGAACCCAGAAATATGAGTGTCAAACTCAAAGGAATATGATCTTTTTTCTTGAGGAACATTTAAGTAATAGGCGTGGATGGTTTTCAGTTATATAAAGTATTTCTCACTTAATCATATTATTAGAAAATTATGAACTATGAGGACATTTTTTTCAAATTCCTGAGGATATCGATATAGTAGTAATATTTCCTCTGTAGTCTTAACAACAGATACTGATCAATACCAAGGATACTTGTCCAGGAGAACTAAATTCATTTATTTAGGTAGAAGGTCACACTTTCAATATTCTCTCTTTTCCATGAAATCAAGGAATCGTATTTTAGTCAACAGCCTTATTTGCACTTAGTGTATACACAGTACACAGAGAACATTTGACATTAATCCTTAAAGTGAATATTCAGCTAACTCTATGTGTCTCATACTTAAAGGAAGGAGATTATAAATTGTTTGTGTTTATTAAGTGCCAATCCATTTCGTAGTAGTTAAGAAGTAACCTCTTTGCTTTTCCAATGAATTATATAATGCAATAGTAAACACTTCTCATTACTAATTTAGCACCTCTCTTCCAAGTGGGTTAACCTTTGTGAAGTCTAGCTCATCTATCTCTAAGGTTTTTTTTAAGTGTAAAAGGCATTTTAAAAGATAATAGTAGGTCTTTTTTGTTTTTTTATTATGAATCATTTTATTGGGACTCTTACAAATCTTAAAACAATCCATTATTCAATTGCATTAAGCACACTTGAACATATGTTGCCATCAACATTGTCAAAACATTTTCTTTCTACTTGAGCCCTCAATATCAGCCCCTCCTTTTTCCTTCCCTCCCCACCCTCTCACCCTCGTGAATCCTTGATCAATTATATATTATTGTTGTTATTTCATGCCTTATACTGTCCATTGTCTTATAGTAGTTCTTATAGTTATATACATTTGGTTAGTATTAAAAAATACCACATTATTTATTTATTTTTCTTTTTTCTTTCTTTATTTTATTTCTTTTTTAATCATTATATTGGGGGCTCGTACAACTCTTATCACAATCCATACATACATTCATTGTGTCAAGCACATTTGTACATATGTTGCCATCATCATTCTCAAAACATATGCTTTCTACTTGAGTCCTTGGTATCAGCTCCTCATTTTTTCCCCTCCCTCCCCTCTCCTCTCTCCCTCATGAACCCTTGATAATTTACAAATTATTATTGTTTTGTCATATCTTACACTGTCTGACATCACCCTTCACCCACTTTTCTGTTGCCCATCCCACAGGGAAGAGGTTATATGTGTAGACCCTTGTAATCAGTTCCCCCTTTCCACCCAACCCTCCCTCTACCCTCCTGGTATTGCCTGGTCCTGAAGGGATCATCTGTCCTGGATTCCCTGTGTTTCCAGTTTCTATCTGTACCAGTGTACATCCTCTGGTGTAACCAGATTTGTAAGGTAGTTGGGACCATGATAGTGGGTGGGTGTGGCAGGGGAGGAAGCATTTAGGAACTAGAGGGAAGTTGTATGTTTCATCATTGCTACACTGCACCCTGGCTGGCTCATCTCCTCCCCGCAACCCTTCTGTAAGGGTATGTCCAGCTGCCTACAGATGGGTCTTGGGTCCCCAGTCTGCACTCCCCCCCATTCACAATGATTTGATTTTTTGTTCTTTGATGCCTGATACCTGATCCCTTCGACACCTCGTGATCACACAGGCTGGTGTGCTTCTTCCATGTGGGCTTTGTTGCTTCTGAGCTGCATGGCCGCTTGTTTACCTTCAGGTCTTTAAGACCCCAGACGCTATATCTTTTGATAGCCGGGCACCATTCTAAATTATTTATTTAATTAAGTAATTAAATCAGCCACAAAGCCAAACAAAAGTAAAAATTGGCATAAAACATCACATTTGCATTTAGTTCAGTTCCCATTTGTTTCAAACTCATACCTACTTGTCTTTACATCGTTCACTTTAAATATCAAATTTGCTTTTCATTAACCGCCCCAATAATTTTCCCCTTCTACTTAGTTTCAGTATTTCCACCAACATGTCCATTTCAGTTTGCAGTTCCTCGGTTTTTAAATTAGTGTTTACCTAGTATAATAAAACTGTTGTTACTATAATGGGTATTTAACAAGTGCTTCAGTGACTATATTAGTCAATCTACTTTGATGTAATGGAATGAGAATTCCTTAGGAACATGTGGACCAAGAGCCCAAATCCATCCCTACTACTTACCACTTGTGAAATTTTGGACAAATTACCTAGATTTTTATTTTTCATTGTCAACAGGGAAGGCTTGTTGGAAGCATTAAATAAGTGCATGTAACAAAGTATCTTTCACAGTAATGTTTGTGTACAAAACTATTGTGTATAAAACAACTAGGAATAAATTAGTAGCTTAGTAAAACATAATTATGGCAAGGCTCTTATTGAAAGCTATGAAAAGTTGTACAAAATAAGGCACATATCATAAAATGTGCAGGCTTTTCAACGTACTCCCGAAAATAATAAAAGATATTACCATATGACCCTTGAGCAAGTAACTCTTTCCAAACCTCTAACTTGCTTCAGTTTAATAGTTCTTGCTATTTAAAAACAAAGCAGCGATTCCAGGGTAATCTCAGATTCACCATACTTCCTTCAAAGTATGTCCTGTGGGATTTGGTTTTAAATACGCATAAAGAGATGCTCAAGTTTTTATCATGTCTAACTCATTGAGCTTCTTGCAAGGGAGTCGTTGCAAGGCTCACAGATCACACCATAAGACATTCATCTCGAACTGGAGAATCAGGATTAACATGTACCATTAGTCTGGGAGGAGCTCTTGTATTTTCAAGGCAAGCACAGAGGCCCAGTACATGTGCATCATGTTTTAACCTTGGTTTTGCCCCATAGGAGCTGGCTGATGCCATGTTTAATGCATTATAACCCTTCTTCAAGATTAGACATTTGCTTGATGTTGCATCTTTGAAAGATTAAGAGTTGGTTTATGGTACCCACCCCTAATGTCTTAAGACTACCTTATGGAGATAAAACGTTCTATTACATTTTTTTTTATCATATCAGATATATGTCAAGCCTACTTAGGATTTTGTTTACAACATGTCTCACATGCATTTTTCTATTTCTAAATTCAGAGATTGCCTACTTTAAAGTCACTTTACAAGTGACTTGTACCTCTGTGGCTTATGACCATTTCTAGAACCAAAAATAAAAATGGTGTATGCATATTACATAATATTACACAATGCCGTATACAAAACAGTCCCGTGTATATATGCAAGAACTGTATAATGTACACAACTATTATGTTTCTCACACTTTTGCACATCATCGTTTTTATGGTATTTCCCATTTCAGTTTTTTTTTAGTTTCTAAGACGTTTCATTCCAAATTCTCCATCTAGGAGAACAGATATATAACAACGTTTACACATGCTGTAATAACTTATTTCACTGTGCAGTTTGCACTCAGTAGAATAGTAGAATAAAACCAGCCAAATAAAATATTCAGTCAGCATTTAAATAAGAATTTATTTGGAAAAAATCATTGAGTAAACTATGGGAGTTTATAAGGTACTGAGATAGTTTATTGTGCCAGCCTGGCTGATAAACACAAGTGGGATTAACTGAAGGGCAGAGAGATAAATGCCTTGGTGAGTCTCGCCTTTCTTGTCTCTCACTCTTTGATCATCGGACCAGTGTGCAGCTGCCTTACTTGTCCTGTGCCTCAATTTAAAGGCTACACTACCTGTGGGACCCCTAGCCTGTGGATTGTGTCGCTGTTAAGTTGAGGTCCCTTTAAGACATAGCTGGAGCTGGAGACTGGCAGTTGGTGACCTGGCTGGCAGTTGGTGACCTGCCTTGCAGTTGGTGACCTGCCTTATGATTGGCTGCTGTGCTGACATAGCCTAGCTCTCTCTATAAATAGAGGAAGATCTGGCAGCAGATTAGACTGGAAGGACTGCTAGTCTCTCACATCTCTCTCACGGCAGTGAGTTGAATTGAGCCATTTGTAGTGCTTTATAATTTAACTGTTTCTTGTATTATATATTTAACTGTATATGATTTAACAGTTCATTCCTTGTTATATATCTAATTATCTTTATAAATAAATATATTAAATTATCAGCAATTTGGTTTTATCTCTCTAGAGAACCCTGTCTAACACAGGTACATTATCAATTTTTTCATAACTTGCAGCCAATAATAAATTAGTCATCTTGTTCGGTGTGTGTCTATAAGTGAGCTTTATCTCCTTTTTTCTTATTTGTGATATGAAAGGCCATTATGTCCTTTTAGACTAGAATGTGTTCTTTTTGGTTAAATTTAATAAATGTGGGCGTGAGGG